TTCTCTATGTCTGACACGGAGAATAAATTCCCATGAAGACATAGAGCATATGAATCCCGAAAGCTACTTGCTAGGTCTGACACGGAGAATAAATTCTCACGAAGACGTCGCTTTCACTCCCACTTAAAAGGGACAAGCTTAATTAAAAAGCTTATGTTATGTAATGCATGTGTTGTGTGTGAGGAGAAATGTTCATACCTCTGACAGAAAAATAAATAATGAAAGTTAATACATGAAAATAAAATGAAACATTAATAAAATAATATATATATAAATATTATGAAAATAATAAGTATATATACAAATTTTTGAAAATAAAGAATTATAAATTAAATATATGAATTTTTAATTTCTAATTAATAGAGACAATTTATAATTGATTTTAAAGCTTGACCAGCTCCCCAGCAGAGTCGCCAAGCTGTCGTAACCGGTTTTCGTTCGGGCACGAATTTTTACTTGGCGAGAAAAATAATGTGGATAAAAATGATTTTGATTTAAAATACATGTTTTAGGAGTTACCATTGACCTTTTGGGGTTAGTATGTCAAATACCTAAAAAAACAATCTTTTAAAAATAGTTTTGAATAAAACATAATTTAAAAGATAAAATTGATCTGCGTATAACCAAAAATTTTAGTAAAATAGGATTCGTGGTCGATTACGTTTAGTGAAGGATTAGCACCCCTATAACGCCCAAAATTTGGTACTCATTAATTATAAATTGTCTCTATCATTAGAATTTTAATTATTCAAAAATATATTTAATCTATAATTTTGTCATTTCAAATTTATTATTTTATGAAAATATATTAATTTAAATATAAATAAGATATTTATTTATTTAGAAATATCATAAAAGGGCTTCTAGGTGCTTTAAGACAGCTCTTTTCTTCTATATTAAAAAATAAATAAATATTAATAAAATATTTCTTTAAAAATTAATATATATTTTATAGGATAAAAAAAATCAGAAAACAGACTTCTAGGTGCTTTAAGACAATCATTTTCTTTAATATTATTAAAATAGGATTATTATTATATATTTTTTCTATAAAAATAATTTTAAAAAAATAAAATAAATAAATATTATTTACTATATACATATATTAATAATAATAATATATTGCAAATAAATATATAAAATTAAATCAACTACTAAAATAAATGAAATTAAAACTATAATAAAAAAAACTAGTAATTTTAAAGCTAATGACTAAATTAGAATATATTAAAAATAAATATCTAATTCGTAATTAAAATTTCAGTGTCTAATTATGCTATTTTACATATTTATTAATTTAGTGACTAAATTAAAATTATGTCGGATTTATATACTAAATTAAAACAATTTAAAACATGCTTTCGAGATTAAAATATTAATTAATAAAATTATGAGGGCTAAATCCGTTATTTTACCTAATATATATATTTTATGTTAATGACTAAAATAAATAAAATTAAAATTATTAAACCGAATTAAAAGGATCATAAATTGATTTAGTGACTAAATTATAAAATTACAAATCTGAGGGATTGCGGACGAGGTTTGTCCATATATATAAATTACGCATATACCCCCACCCGAAACGACACCGTTTTGAATTGGGTATATGATCCCCAAATGGCTGGCCCTACGAACCAACACTCTCATTTCTTCTCTCTAAAAAAATGAGAGAAGAAGAGCTATCTCCCTTCTCTCTTAGTTTCCCTCACCGGAGGGAAACGATCTCCTGTCGGCCACCGTCAAATCCGCCGCTGGTGGCCGGAAATTACAAAACCCACCCCGAATTAAAGCATGGTTTCCCCTAAAGCTAAATCCAACGGTTTTTTAACCTAAAATTCCTCTAAAACGCATAGATCTAAGTCTTTTTACCTTCGACCTTTGGCTTTCTGACAGCGCGATGAGGCTCTGATGATCGCTGTTGCCTCGGTAAGTTTCTCTCCTCTCTTTTCCTTCGATATTTGGCTGTTGTGGGTAGTTGTTATCTGTCTCCCCTTTGTTTTTGTTTTGTTGGGTATATATTTTTTTATGGGTTGCTCTCCGTTGGTCTTTATCCCTCTTGGTTGCTCTCTGTCTTTTCTTTGTTTACAGGTGAGCCGAGGCTTTATAGCCACTCCGGTACTGGCCTCGGACCGGTTAATATGGTGGCAGTTTGGTGAGTCACCAGACTTCCAGTGGTGACTCATTGTTGAGCGACGTGTGCGGCTGGAAGGGATCTTCTGGAAGTCTTTGGTGAACGTCGTGGCAGCAGCGTCGGTAACGTGGAGCGGTGACAACATGGAGCGGCAGCCGAGTGTCCCTAGGGTCATGATACCCTAGGGTTTCATCTGGCAGGATGCGGGCCGTTGGATCAAGGTTAGATCCAACGGCTGAGAAGAGGAGCGGCGGCTGTAGATACAAACCCTAATCAGTTTAGGGTTTCCCTTGGGCTCTGAGTTTTGGGTCTGGAACTGGGTCGGTCCAATTTTGATTGGGCATGTAATAATATTTGTAAATAATTATTTATTTATTAATAATAATAATAATAATAATAATAATAATAATAATAATAATAATAGTAATTAAATGAAAAAAAACAAGTATCTTCAGCCAACTTGTATTTCCACAGTAAGGATGTGATCTTATGAACTTTGCCTATGTTCCATATTTATTCCTTGAACTCGATCATGCTTTGTGGGCTACTGTTGGTGCTGCGATTCTGATCATGCAGAAGTTCGACATCGAATTGTTTATGGGAGTCACTTGTCAAAGAAAGATGGAGTCTTTTGTATGAAACTGTAAAAGACCCCAACTTCAAGGATTGGCGGGGATTCTATGTAAAGCAGCACGAAGAGAGGAAGGCTCAGGCTGCATTTGTTGTTAGCGTGGTGCCGTGGTGGAACATTGCTCACAATCCGAGTCACTTGAGATTCTCGACTATCTGCAAGCAATTGAATGCCTGAAAAACGATACAATTTGGATTCAAAGATGTTCAAATGCTTCTCTTGAGACCAAAGCTGAATGTTCTGCTTAACTTAATCGGACTAAATTACTGCCTTAACATCCTTCAAGTGCCGGTAACTTTTCCCGTTTATTTTGTTTCTTTGAGATAGTGTTTTTGCCGTATCCTTTAACTGTTAAAACCGAGAACATTGTGTTCTAGTGAAATCTTTGGTATAAGTTATTAAGTGATAGTTTATCAGAATCTTAGGTTTAAGTATATTGAAGACTGGTTCCAATGAGCTTTGAAGAATTCAATTCGTCAATAACTAGTGGATCAGATACCTTCTTTTATTCGACGACGATAACACGAGATTAAATGATTGAAGGTAAGGAATTTGAGTAAAACGTTTAGAATTTCAATTTCAATTTTTCCCAATTAAGACAATCAGCAAATTAATTGGTACCGAAAGGGTGGTTCAAGGGTGTTAATCTTTCCTTGACCGTAACCTACTCCCGAATCCGACACATTTATAGTAAAACACAGATCAGATAAGATGATATCCGATCTATCTAAATATTTTTAAAAAGATCGATGACGACTCTAACTCATTATTTCAAGTCGAAATCCAATTTTTAGGTCCATCCGAAATACGGTCCGACACCTAGAAACTAAGAAAAGAAAAGAAAAATACCGTGAAAACAGTGGACAATGAGAAAAAAAACTAAAAAGAAAAATCATATCTTTCAACACCAAATGCAACCATAACAAATAAAAAGTAAAGCCAAATTCCACACAAATCAGCAAAGAAAATAATAAATTAACCAGTACAATCAACTAAACAAGGTTATCAATGATTCTGCTGGGAGAAAAAAACAAAACCCAGAATTCATAATTGTAACTACACTGGTGTTTTCATGTAGAGGTAGTCCAATAGTTTGATAACAACAATGTAAACTGTAAAATGAAAAGAGAAAAAACTGATAATTGAAATCAGCTGAAGAAACCCCACAGATTGAATCCATATTCCAATTTGGAATTAGCAGATATTAGCTTAGGAATAGAAGCTGAAGATGGAAAAAGAAACGAAGCAGAGAGAAATGGGGAAAAAAACTCACGTTGCTCTTGGAAATAGTAGTTCCCTTGGAGGCGGCAGCCGAGGCGATCGAGAGCCTGACCGGTCTCGCGAATCCAGAATCCAACGGTGTATATGGCTTTGCCAAGGGTTCCCATCTTCAGCTTTGATCGGTGATTTTGGGGTTTCCAGGATAGCTAGTGAATTTTAAAATTATAATTTAGAACTTTATAAAATTTTAAAATATTTAATTTGATCCCACAAGATTTTTAAATATTCATATTAATAATCAAAATTCTTGAATATTTTAATTAAATCCCTTTCATAACTTTTAAAAATTATGATTATAATTTTTAATTTTTTTAAGTCTTAAATAGGTCACTTCAAACGCTATCATCAACTTCATCATTATATTTTTATATTAAAATAGTAATATGAAATATATCTTATAAAAATTAATAAAAAATGATGATATGATAAATATCATATGTCGAAAAGGATAATGTAACATATGTTATGTGTAGAAAAATGATGATGTGATATATAAAATATGTTAAAAATAATAATATGATACATATTATGTATCAAAAGTAATCACGTGGTATATATCATTCATAGTCGTTTTGATACAAGCGCGATGAACATATCCGTATTAGTGTAAAAATAACGGTTAAACTACCTGCAATTTCGTCCTTTTTCTTAGTACTCTTCTTGAAAATCAGCAGATTCATTCCAGAGAAACCCATCATCTTCTTACGAATATCGCTTTACTTAAACCCTAATTTCATATTCATTCAAAGTTAAGTAACGCGTACTCCCCCACCCCAATTTCATTTTCAATTAAACTTTCTCATAATAATAATATCACTTTCTAAGTTGATGATTAATTTACTTCTTTTTTAAGCGGTGAAGAATCTATAAATATTTTTCAGGTGGACACACAATGTTAACAACATAAATTTTTTAAATTAAATTGGTATAAATAAAATTTTAGTATAAGCATAGTCTCGTAAATTAAGTAATTAATCGAAGAAAACTCATATTTCAGAGTATATATATATATATATGAAATAAGCCTGCAAAGCAGTTAGCAGGCACATAAGTGTATGGATCCCTTCAGCCGCAATAGCACGACGGATTTTAGCCTTGATTCCGAATGCCTATTTCACCGGCCCGATCGCGGTATTCAGATCCACGTCCGTTCCAAATTCGGACGGAGAGAATCTCTGATCAAATTTAAAATAAAAAAATCAATTAGAATATAATGAAGAAATTGAGAAAATGCTAGCAACCAGCTAAGTTCCTGCAAATCTCTTTGGTCCACTATTGCCAAAATGTGTCTCATATCAGTAAAAAAGCAAATTGTGTGAAATGAAACAAAGAAACACAAACCTTGACATTCCCAGCTTCTTTAATGGCAGCAATGATCTTAACTTGATCTTCTATCTGCATTTGACCCACCGCCGAAATCACCACATCGACTTGCTTTATTGCCTTCGCCAAACTCTCATGATCGTAAAGATCTCCCTGCATTAAATGCCCACAGAATCATAATAAACAAAGTTTTCACAGCCATGAAAAATGTGCATGAAGATCTAAATCAAAGACTACTTACGATCAACCACTGGACCCCTAAGTTCTTGAAGTTGTCGATGATCCTTCCCTTAACGGGGTCGGAGAGGGTGGTCTCTCTGACTAAAGCGAAAGTGGGGTGGCCCTCTTTCGCACTTGCTTCGACGATGAACTTTCCGATGTAGCCGTTTCCTCCAATCACCAAAATCTTTCTCTTCTCAGCCATTGATGAGTTTCTTCTGCAACTGGAACGAGAACAATGTTGGTATAAATGGGAAACGGTTTGTTTGTTGTAATGAAATTTGACAGGCAACTGATTCACTATTTACAGTTCAAATGAGAGGAGCCTTGTCGGTGAGAATTTAGTGTCCTACCTATAGGTCAGGTCCATGCAACCATAAAACACAAATTGGTAGTAGATCGTGGCTAGATCTATTTTAGAACACATATCGTTACTTAAAAATAATATTTAAAACACGGATTTCGGGTTCGACCACATCACTAGCAGAAATGTTTGAGTGTATATTATCGAATGATTGAAAATATTTCGAGCATTATCAAATTAAGTTTAAAATTTACTTAAAAAATACGAAAATTAAAGGCATGGCTGTAAATGTTTAATTTTATACCTTTAACCAAAATTTATTTATAATTGCAAGAATACTCCAAATATTTTAATGGAGGGAAGGAATCGGTTGGATAGTCATTGAAAAATCTTGGTATGGGAGCAACTAATAAGTTAAGCAGTCGTTATTATCCAAGCATTATCATGACCGAAAAGTCTCGACTCTCAACAGGCTGGGTTAGGTGAACCATAATTTTTTTCCTGTGTTTGTAATTTCTTTTTTGATAAAAATGAGATGAGATTAAGAAATTAACTTAATACATTGTTAGGAGGATTAGAGATCTAGATAAAATCAGGAGGAGATTGCTTCATTTAAGCGAAAAACAAGACCTCAATTAGGTTTACCTGTGAAATTAACCACTAAATTTACTTCCTGTAAAATTAAGACAATCAACAAATCAAGCCTTGCTAATCATCACAGTAATTGATCGGATCAACGAGGATGGGCTCTCAGTCGAAACGGGGGAGAGCAAGACGTGCACATCGACATTATCAATTTTTGTCATAACACTCGAAATTGTGCAACCATACACGCTTGAGTTCTTTAAAAACACCCAAAAGTTCAACGTGAAAACATACGAAATACCTAAATTCTTGTTATATTTGTAAATTTTGGTTATGTATTTTAATGTTTGCGTTCTCTCTAATACTTTTAAATACGGTTGAGTCTGTAAATTTTAAATTATTACAACGATCTTAGTATTAATTTGTTGGGAAATAAACCAAGTACAAGTAATTTCCCTATAACTAGATTAGTGAGAATGCAAAATAAAAGCGGAAAAATAATACCCGAAATTGATAACGGAGTTCAGTCAATTGTGCTTACGTCTCCTGACTGTTGCAGATCTTTTACTAAGAGAGAAAATTTACAGGTGTTTACAAAACACTCACTACTCACAAGAAAACTCTCTAATATTGGGAGAAAGAAATGATTTTTGGGATGGTTTTGAAACTAAATGAGCTAGGGTATTTATAGTTGAAACTTAAGGACTTAATCTTGTAAATACCCTAAAACCTAGGGATTAATTGTGATTATCTCATTATCATTTTTCAACAAACATCTACCAAACTTTGAAAACTATTTTTCAAAGAAACATTTAACAAACTTTGAAAACCATTTTCAAAGAAACATTTACCAAACTTTGAAAACCATTTTTTCAAAGTTGGTTACCAAACTTGAAAACCATTTTAATACTTTCAACAATATCCCACTTGAAGACTGATTTTAATCTGTCTTCACACCTCGATCAATGCAACAGCTTTTCTAGTCTTGTTACTCTAGCATGCCAACTGAAGTTGAACACAACTTCAGTTTGTCTGTTGTCACCGTCTTTGTTAACATATCTGCCTGATTTTGAGCTCCACTGATCTTTTCAAGTTTCAAAATCTCATCTTCCAGAAGAGACCAGATAAAATGATATCGCAATTGTATGTGCTTTGTCCTGGAATGAAAAGACGGATTCTTTGCTAGATGTATAGCACTTTGACTGTCGCAATACAAGACATTGTTTTCTTGTTTCTTGCCTAACTCTTCCAAGAAACTTTGGAGCCAAACCATCTCCTTGCTAGCTTCCGTAACAGCGACATATTCTGCTTCAGTTGTGGAGAGAGCAACTATCTTCTGTAGTTGAGAAACCCAACTCACTGCGGTTTCTCCTAGAGTATAGACATACCATGTAGTGCTCATTCTGATGTCAACATTTCTGGCTAAGTCAGCATCTACATAGCCTGTCAGTATCGTATCTCCACTTTTGAAACAAAGTGCTTTGTTTGTGGTACCCCGTAGATATATGAGGATCCATTTGACTGCTTCCCAGTGTACCTTGCCCGGATTATTCATGTATCTGCTAACAACTCCCACTGCTTGAGTAATATCTGGTCTGGTACAAACCATGGCATACATCAGACTTCCAATCGCTGAGGCGTACGGCACCTTCACCATGTGTGCACGTTCTTCCTCCGTCTTTGGTGACTGTTCTTTGGAGAGTCTGAAATGAACACCTAAAGGTGTACTTACTGGTTTAGCATCTTGCATGTTGAACCTGGAGAGTACTTTGTTGATGTACTCAGCCTGTGATAATATCAAAGTCCCTGAATTTGTGTCTCTCTTGATCCTCATCCCAAGAATCTGCTTTGCAGCTCCCAGATCCTTCATAGCAAACTGCTTTGACAATTTTTTCTTCAAGTTTATAATCTCTTGCATGTCTGAGCCTGCAACGAGCATGTCATCAACGTACAACAATAAAATAATGAAGCTATTGTCGAACCTCTTGATATAGCAACAATGATCTGCTTGGCATCTGGTAAAACCACTGCTACTCATGAAACTATCGAACTTCTTGTACCACTGTCTAGGAGCTTGTTTTAAACCATACAAGCTCTTCTTCAACCTGCATACGAGGTTTTTCTTGTCTGCCTCTCTGAAGCCTTCTGGCTGCCTCATATAGATTTCTTCCTCCAAATCACCATGAAGGAAAACTGTCTTTACATCTAACTGCTCAAGATGTAAATTCTCTACAGCTACAATTTTTAACACCAGTCTGATTGTAGACAGTTTCACGACTGGAGAGAAAATTTCATTGTAGTCAATACCTTCTTTTTGCTGAAAAACTTTGACAACCAATCTCGCTTTGTAGCGTTTGCTCCCATCGTGCTCTTCTTTGATCCTGTAAATCCACTTGTTGTGAAGCGCTTTCTTGTCTGGTGGTAATTCAGCTAATTCCCACGTCTGATTTGATAAAAGCGAGTCCGTATCATCTTTCATGGAAGACTCCCACTTGACTGAATCCTCCACTTGCATTGCTTCATCATAGCACTCTGGTTCACCATTGTCAGTCAGCAACAAGTAGTGCAAAGAAGGAGAATACCGTTGGGTTGGTTTAGGAATTTTGGAGGAGCGTCTTAGTTCCGGTATGCCTGGTTCTTCTTGAACTGCTTCAGGACTGATCTGAACATCATTTCCAGAAATCTCCTCAAACTCAGCAAATTTCTTTGTTTCAACTTTGGTATTGGAGCTGCTTGATTCTACAGTTGACCTGTCTTTGTACATCACATTCTCATTGAAAATGACATCTCTGCTTCTAATGATCTTCCTATTTTCATAGTCCCAAAACCGGTAACCGAACTCATCACCGCCGTAACCAACAAAGGCACATTTGTTGGACTTAGCATCAAGTTTACTTCTTTCAGCAGAGTCTATGTGTACATAAGAAATACAACCAAACACTCTTAAGTATGAAAGGTTTATTTCTTTCTTGCTCCAAACTTCCTCTGGTATTCTGCCATCCAAAGGAACTGAGGGCCCACGGTTGATCAGGTAAGCTGCAGTGTTAATAGCTTCAGCCCATAGAAATTTGGGCAATCCGGCATGTATCCTCATGCTTCTGGCACGCTCATTCAGAGTTCTGTTCATGCGCTCTGTTACGCCATTCTGCTGCGGTGTCATGGGAACTGTTGTCTCCATCTTGATCCCATTGTTTGCGCAAAAATCTCTGAATCTCCTATTTCTGTACTCTCCTTCATTGTCAGACCTCAACCGCTTGACTTTCATACCATTCTCATTTTCCACCATGACCTTCCATTTTCTGAAGGTATCAAAGACTTCTGATTTTTTCTTCAGAAAATAAACACACACCTTCCTTGTAGAATCATCGATGAAGGTGACATAATATAATGAGCCTGCAAGAGATGGAACTGGAGATGGTCCCCATACATCAGTATGAACTAACTCTAACTTTTCAGCCTTGGGTGTCTTACCAATCTTTGCAAAGCTGAATTTCTTTTGTTTGCCAAAGATGCAATCCTCGCATAGTCCGACATCTACATTCTTTAGATCCGACAGCTTCCCATTTGACAAAAGTGTCTTCATCCCTTTCTCGCTCATATGGCCAAGCCTTTGGTGCCATAGGTTTGATTTTCCATCAGCATCTGCTATTGCAATGATATTCTCTAAATTTGAGGTTACATAGAGAGTACCAGTCTTCTTACCACGAGCAATGACGAGTGCTCCTTTGGTAATCTTCCATTCACAACCTGAAAAGGTTGTACTGTATCCTTCTCCATCAAGCTGTCCTACAGAAATCAAATTTCTTTTGAGACCAGGAATATGTCTCACTCCTGTCAGCTTCCAGGTGGTCTGGTTTGGCAGCTTTAGTCGGATGTCTCCTTTTCCGACGATCTTCAAGGTTTCATCATCAGCAAGATGAACCTTCCCAAAATCACCACTGACATAGTTCTCCATGATTTCTTGGCATGGCGTGGAGTGGAAAGATGCCCCTGAATCCAAAATCCATGATTCAATCGGACTGTTGACGCTTAAAATCATGGCATCACATGTCTCCTCCGTCATGTTGGTAGATTCATGTGCGCCGATATTTTTCTTCGGTGCTCGACAATCTCTTTTGAAGTGGCCCTTCTTGCCGCAATTATAACAGGTAAAATCTTTATTTCCTGTTCTTGATTTTCCCCTTCTGGATTTCGATCTGCCACGATTTGAATTTATTTCTAAAGTTCTCCCTCTGGACTCCGTGCAAGGCCGAGGAGGTTGATGCTTCACCCGATTCTCTCCGTCGAATTTCTTCGCTCAGTACCAGATCCCGAACATCGTCGAATTTTAATTTGCTGTTTCCCGACAAACTGCTGACTGTTGTAACAGTAGCATTCCAACTGTCTGGTAAAGATGATAAGAGAATTAAAGCTCGAACTTCATCATCAAATTCAATTTCCACTGAACTCAACTGGGTTGTGATTGTGTTGAGTTCATTTAGGTGTTGT